AAATACGGAATGTGCATCAAAACCTTTGAATAAGTGCAGAATATAATTTTATAATCAGATGCAAACTTATGTGTCAGCAGCCATGTACTTTTAAGAGTATGCACACTTTCCATAACACATGGAGACCCAGCACTTACACACAATGGATACTTGTTCAGTGCAAACCTGACAGATAACTTTTGTTTTATTGCTTTGTTTTGTTCTAGGTGCTCAAGCTGTTCTCTAACTCGGTGGTTATATGCCTCTGCCATAAGAAAAGGCATATAATCTAAATTTTAAAAAATATATAACATCATCCCTTGAGCTTCAAACTCTTTTATGTACGCATAATTCACACTCATAAGAACTCACCAATATCTGAAGTCTACACTGTAAAACTTGCTGGCTTTTATGTTTTATTCAAATGCATGGTTTATACTTTTGTACCACAAGCTAGAGAGTTTGAGTCAAAATTGTGATGCAGGTTGTTGAGTGACAAAAGACACAAGAAGAAGACTTTATCATTCTTCACAGACCGCCATTTTGAATTAAACTGCGACCTGACGAGACCTCACTGAACCATTCCAGAAGATCATAATAAATTATAAGATGGTAAGATGTTGCTGTTTAAAGATGTTGATGCCACTGAGTCAGGCAAGAGAACAAGTTTGTCCACTAAAGATAACGTTAGCATTTGAGCTGCTAAATAGTAAATTCAAACTAGTGCAGCATCCTGACTCCAATAACAGATTATAAAGTCACTATGAACAGATGATATTCCAAACATTGTTGCCGAGTATGAATTTCCATTCATCCCTTTTCTATACTGAGCAACAGAGACACACAATACACACAAACACTGATACCTAATAGCACTTTGGAGAGTCATGTTTTTGGATTGTGTGGGGAAGGAACCCTATTTACACAAGGTATGTTTGGATAGCTCTTACTTTTTGGTTGGGTTTATGTTAAAATGATTTGATAATCTGAAATGCTTCAGTGTGACAAACAGCAAACAAATTGGTAATGGTACAAATACTTTTTCACAGCTCTGCGTCCTTAACTTACAGTGTTTTATTTAATTGCTTAATAATTTAAAGCTCTGTCAACTGTGACTAATGGAACAAAGGTTATAATGTAGGGCTGTAAAATAAATCCTTAGCAATTTGTGTGAAGAAAAAAAAAACATTAATTTCCTGAAATGCTCTCCATTTGGGAAAAAAAAGGACAGTGTTCTCTCTCTCTCTCTCTCTCTCTCTCTCTCTCTCTCTCTTTTTCTCTCTCTCACAAAGGTGTGTGTGTGTGGTCAGTGAGACAAATTAATCACCCATCCGCAGAGGTGCATTCATTTTATTAACCCTGAACTCTGTGTTAGCCATCATGACTTGGAAGTAGCCAAACCCCAGCTCTGGAGCTGCCGCCTCTGCGCTATAGGACCACGCTCTACTGGGATGGACCAGAGAGAGAGAGAGAGAGAGAAAGAGAGGATGAGAGTGCGATTAGAGGCGGGGGAGGAGAGAGGTGAGAGGTTGCAGATGAGTTGCATTGCAAAGGATGCTGCTGTTGCTACAGCACCTGCAGAGTCGTCATCGCTCCATTCATCCCTTCCATTCCGCGGGAAAAAAAAAAAAGAGGAAGGGAAAAAAAAAGGAGTGGTTATGTGATTCCCCCACAAGCGGGAGGAGACGCGCACAGTTGAGAAAGGAATAGCATGGATGGAGAGGAGATGGGGGGTGGAGGTGTGGTGGTGGGAGAAAGGGGTGGGGGGGGGGGGGGGGTTTCCCCGCCCGGGGTAAACTT